AATAAGGCAATGACTGAGATGACTGGTATCCTGGATCTGATTACCAACGATATCAATGCACGTTTTTCCATACAAATTGCATATATTTTACGTTATAAGTATACAGATGTGATGTTTTAGTGGTAGTTTTATTTAATATTTCATAGTGAACACAATTAAACTTGTTTTAGCTTAAAAATCTTATCTTAATCTTATCTCTTAAACCATTCCAACAGAAAATTTCAGTTTGTTTTGTTGCATGTATTAATATTCAACCCAAAAAATATATATTTTATATTATGTAGTGGTCTCAACGGTAAACATCTATCACTGTAAAAATTGTAGCAGTCACTTTGATATTACATAAAAACTTAATGTAATATTTTGTGTAATATCTTATTATTAAGGCTGTTTCAGGTGGTTTATGATAATGGATTTTAATGTATCAGCTTGTGCTTCTGCTGAGTGTATTCCAATGTAGTTCCAGGAACTCTTTACCTGCGTTTTGACGGAGGAACCAGGAATTAAATTGAGTTCCTGTACGTTAGTTGATTGATCAAACACAGACCTTGTGGCTGATATGATTTGTGTACAGCTCGTATGTAGGACAAGGGACAATCACATCCTTTTCATTTATTCGTCCAACCAAAGTAAATCCAATAAGTCATGTGGATGATTTTGTGTTGGTGTGTTGTGGTGTGTGAAAACACAATACTTTTTAGCTCCTTTTTTCGTTCCTGAGTTTAGTTCCTGTGGTTCTAAAGTTTCTGGAACCGTTTGGTCAAAATGTAGTAAAATATACAGATGGCAAATAGCTATAGCAATAGCTTGTTTCAAGTCCCTGCGGGTTTATTTTAATTGGAAATTTAAATCAGTTGGAAGCAATTATTGCCCGGAATTGGAAAACCTAAAGAATAAGCATAAACGTCAAATATGGGTAATTTGTAGTGAACTGCTTAGAGTTCCCCCTTCCCTTCCACAGTGTTGTTTTTACTTCTTATTCACTGGGAGGGATTTTGAGCGAGTAATGAGCAGTGTTTCTCCTGGTAATATTCATAAATAGCCGTGTTGCTTTCTTGCTTTCTGTCATGTTAAGTGCTGTCATCAAACATGGTCGCCTGCCTATTGCACCTGCAGGGTTTGAAGTAAGGTGATCAAACGGTTCCAATCTGGAAGTGCAGTTAAAGTGGTCAGAGAGAGAGAGAGAGAG